GCCTGCGCGGGCAGAGGCCGATGGTAAAAACAGCAGCGTGAAGTGTCCATACAAACACGTACAACTGCCTTCTACTTCTGTTGGTTTGTTTGTTTAATACTTGGACTGTTTTAACAAGCCACATTCCAGAAAAGGGGGTGGATAGCGCAGGAACACATGTGTAAATGAAACACGGGGCCAGCTCGGAGGAAGGGGGAGGTGTTTGGGAATGAGCCATGCTCGGCGGCCGGCCCCGGAGCGGGCAGACCTCAGTGCTGCGGCCTGGGCCGTTCGGCCCGTCTGGGCACGTGTCTGAGCAAACGGCCCGTGAGAGCCGCCCGGTGCCTGGCCGGGGTGAGAGCCGGTGCCCCGCGGCTGTGGCGCTCGGGGCTGCGGGACATCACAATGGTGGAACCACGGAGGGACTCCTGGCAACCCTGCCACACGCTCCCGACCAGCACGGCCAGGGCTTCTCCTGAATCCCCAGCGCAGCTTGCTGGGATCAGGAGCGCACATTGAAACCTCTAGGATTGGCCCTTCAGGAGCCAGGAGACAGAGGAGTTCAGCACGGGGCTTTGGGACCAGGATGGGGGACTGGAAGAACTACATCAACTGCATCCTGAAGGACAAGAATGTTGAAGATGTGGCTATCGTGGGCCACACTGACAACAAGTGTGTGTGGGCAGCCAAGCCGGGAGGGCTGCTCGCAGCCATCTCTCCTCAAGAAGTGGGCTTGATCACTGGCCCTGATAGGAAGGCCACTGTGGCCGGCAAAAAGTGCAGTGTGATTCGTGACAACCTGCTGGTGGAAGAAGATGATGTAATGGATATCAGAACCAAAGGTGGAGACAGCAGGTCCATCTGTATTGGCAGGACCTCCAGAGCCCTCATCTTCCTCATGGGCAAGAGGGGCGTCCATGGAGGAGCCCTCAATAAGAAGGTCCATGAAATGATTATGGGCATGAAAACGTGCATCAGATAATATCAAAGCTACTCATCTTCCTGAGGACAGGAAGAGCAAGGAAAACATCCTGATTTGGTTAAACATGTCTTTGCCTGCTTCTTTCAGGTAGGGGCTGTTGGGCAGGCAGACGTTCTGGTACACTAATAATCTGCCTGACCAGGTGCAGAGATGAGCCACGTTCTCATTCCTCACCGGGGTGCTCGGTGTTACTTGGGTTGTCTCTAGGCCATCTTGGGTGATCTCTCCCTGTTACTCTCATTTTACTGTATTTTGCTGACTGATTTTGGGGAAAAGGTTTGTGTTGATGGTAGCTTTGGGAAAGGGAAGAAAGAATGGCAATTCCTTTGCACTCTGGTTCTCTACTTTGCTGTTTGATAAGTCACCAGATGCCATTTGTCGTTTCTGAAACCTTCCTATGTCTACAAGTAGTCCACAACACTAACAGTAAGCAGTACTACTTAAAATAGGCTGCCTGTCTTTCATTTTCATTAACATACCATTAGGCTATTGCTGTAATTAATAGCTCATTTCATTTTCTTTCATGTCACGTTAAGAATTTTATGAATCCATTATACACCATTTGCCACTCATTAATCAGAAAGGGTTGAGCATAGGAAGAGTGAAGGTCGGTCACCTTCACTCAGGTGGGATCAACGGAAGGAGAACTCGAAGCAGGTATCTCTTCCCCTTGATGTTGTCAGCTAACTTGATTTTCTTTCCCCAAATCTGGTCAGATCACATTGAGTAATGTGCTGAAGGCAAGACCAGTCCCATCTCATGGAGCTTCCTTGCTCCATTGCTCCTGGTAGGTGCCAAGCAGCAGGCCTGAACCTGCTGCACGCCTTTCCACAGCAACACTGACAGGCCTTGCTCACAAACCACAGTAACATGCCCTGTTCTCTGTAGCCATTGGATCTCCCTACTCTAGCAGGAAAATCGCACACTCACTCAGAGCCTGTTTTAGAGCCTGCAGAGCCTGTTTTGAAAGTCAATAATTCCTTTTTCCCCTCTGCCTTCAAATTGCTTGGTCTCGCAGGTTCATTGAGTCAAAAATAATTAACTCTTGAAGAATGTGTGAAGGTGCCACAGAAATGAAAATTGAGTTGGTCCTGCTGCACAAACTTAGAGCACTTGCAGGTTCTTTGATAATCGTTATTCTTCTAATTTGAAAAGGGAGTCAATATTTTGTGATTTAATTAAACTCACACAGAGATTTTTAATCTGCAACCATACCCACAGGAGCAGAAAATACTATAAAGGGAAGCAGGTGTCTCATATATTAGCAAATGTTCAACAAAACCATAGTGACTGTCTGATTAGTAAGCACTGTCCCCATAAGCTGAGCTTGCAAGCAGTTTAGACCCATCCAGTGTGATGGTGCAGCGAACAGCTACAGCAGCTTCTTAGCTAGGCACTGTGATAGTTTTACAAAAGAAGTCTCCTTCAGCTGGAAGGACCTATTAACTAAATCTAGAAATAGCTAACCTTTGTTACCAATTGCATGTTAACTTAGAGAATAATTTATTTATAAATCCAAGAAGGACAAGAAACATTTGTTCCCTAAATCTGCCATTCTGGAGCCCGAGGAAGCTTTTTTCACCCAGCTCCAAAAGGCATCTGTTACTTCAGCCCTGTCTCTTCATGAAGATTACGGCATGAGGGAGCTTAAGGAGGAATAACAGAAGGCGGCAGCATCTGCATAGTCTCTCCTCTCCTGCTGTGATGTGAGGAATGTAAAATGAGAAGTGGCTGCCAAGAGCGTGGCCATGGCTTAACATTTCAGGTCTAAGAGCAGGCTGTGAGTAAAGCAGTCTGTTCAGCCACACTGCAGGCACCTTTCAAAAAGCCTCCAGTAAGCAGCTTAACCAGCAGCTCTGTTTTATCCTCCGTATCAGGCACTTACCTAGGAGTCACCACCTCCTTCTGCTATAAACCAGGGTGAATAGAGCCTTTCAGAAAAAAAAAAATCTCTTTACTGATTTTATTACTCACCGAACATCAGCTCTAGTGTAATAGAATTGTTTTTGCTGTAGCCAGAGTACAGTAAACTTGAATTTCCCAGGAAATGACCTTGTTTTCAGTTGCTTTTCACTTTGTTGAACTTCCAGCCCTCTGTGCTGAAATTCCCCATGCCAGGTCCCTGCCCCAGGCAGAATTTGCTTAAATCTGACCAAATAGAAGATTTGTAGTGTCAAACCCACGGCAACTGGAACCGTCTCTCCATTCAGAAAGGCAATGGGCTTGGTAAAGCATTTGTCAGCTCAGAAGCACCCATATGGCAAGATTTCAGGTGGCCGTGATTGCCTAGAAAAGGTTTTAGTTTTGTTTAGTCTTTTAACAGTGTTAGAGACTTTTAATGACAGGCTTGGTGAAGGGGTGCCAGGATGGAGCTTAATACAGGTTAGTCTCATCTCAGTGAAGGAATAGGGATTAAATGGCAGCAGAAGGGCCGTTTCAGGCATTTTTCCAGCAGTTCTCTTATAATTCCCAGGAGGCACAGGATGAGGCGATGCCTGACACTACTGAATATGCAGTCATCTCATCTTCTTCATTCCCCAGTGCATCACATTGATTTTGATGAGATGTGATAAAAAATATATTATACACCATTGTATTACGCAGACAAATTAAATCCTTCCTTCCAAACACAAACAATAAATTCATAAAATTCCTCCATATAGAGTATGGGAAGATAAAAGCGTTGCTGTTTCCTCCTGTAATCTTCAAGGAAATCTGAGTTCAGGGAATTGTGCACCAGAAATAAGCTGTGAAGTTAACTTAGAGAAAAATCTCAGGCAAATAATTGGTGATGATAGAATTGAAAATAGGGTCATTTATGATAGATGTGTCCCCTTATAGGGAACACAGCGCAATCAGATAAGGGGAGGCGTTTTGGGAGGCTTTTCCCACACAAGGAATCATAAATAAAAGCTAGGCAGGCAGGCAGGTTACTTTATTCACTCTCTGGTCATACAGGAAAATTATTTGAAATTTGCCTTTTTCCTGCAGTCAGATGTTAAACTTCGGTGTCTCTGAATTGAACCAAATGGTTGTTCCAAGCAAATGTTCCCTCCAGTGTTAACAAACACAGTCTAATCACGTTAGAAATTCTCCCCGTGCTCTGTAATTGCAGTTCTCCAGGTGAATACAGCACTGGTCAGTAGGATTTTGGATACACAGGGTAGGGATGCAAGGGATGTGGGAAGGCAGGTAAGGACAGAGGAGAGGTTTGGCTGGGGACTGGTGCACTCTGCAGCACAGAGACGGGTGGATTTTGGGAGACGACTTAGCAGCCAGCGAGGACACGCAAGGGACTCTCCAAAGTACAATGCATGCTTAGACGTTCAAGAAAGAAAACAAAGCCAATGTTTGTATAACTTTGCCTTTGGAACAATTGCAAACAGGACACAGAGGTTGGGGAGTCAACCGGCTGTAAAGCCCTGGTATGCAGAGCCATGTTACTGCGCTGGGACCCAACTTCCTTAGAGCCCGGCCTTGCGGAACTGCCTCGGTGGGCAGGATATCCCTGCAGGAGGAGGTGCGGAGCAATGCGGCTGACACGCACCGGTGGAAATTTGGGCTTTTCCCAGGAGATGGCACTGAAGGACAGTCACCTTCCAGCCTCGATCGGTGGAGCAGAGGCTTCGCTGAGGGCCGGGCTGCTCTTGGTGCTGGCACCTCTGCGAGTGGCCCGTTGTTGTCAGAGGCAAAGCCTCCTTCTTGGTGTCTGTGGTGCTAGCTGCACGTGGTGGAGGCCGGGGATGCCTGTGCTTTATATCTCCATACAAAAGCTATTTGCAACCTTTCCCGATACATCTGCGTGGTGGCCAACATTATCCACGGACTTCATTGCGCGGTCTAGACTCGGTCTGGAGTTTACCCCGCAGCAGAGCCCTGGCAGCCTGACATTGCTTCCTATATGAACAAGGAAGGGGAAAAATCCCTACTTTACAGCAGCCCAGCAGAATCCTTTGCTGCTCTGAGCGAGGCCACAGAGGCGCGGGAGTGTTGGCCCCAGACTCCAGGCTTTTCCACGTGCCCACGGGCTCGGGAGTGCCTTTCTAGGAGACGCTTCGAGCTTCTTTATGGTGTCATTGGTTGTAAAACATGGTGAAAGAGGGGTAGAAGGAAAGAACGGAAAGAAGGGAAGAAGGGAAAACGTCTGTTTTTTCTTGCTGTTTGAGCTGGGCTGGTGAAGAGCAGGGCAAACCCTCAGAGTGCCAGCGCTTGGCTCCACAAATCACGGGCTGGGGAGTCCTTTCTAGGAGACGCTTCGAGCTTCTTTATGGTGTCATTGGTTGTAAAACATGGTGAAAGAGGGGTAGAAGGAAAGAACGGAAAGAAGGGAAGAAGGGAAAACGTCTGTTTTTTCTTGCTGTTTGAGCTGGGCTGGTGAAGAGCAGGGCAAACCCTCAGAGTGCCAGCGCTTGGCTCCACAAATCACGGGCTGGGGAGTGAAGAATGACTTCTATTAAGAAGTACTGATAAGCAGCAGTAATTGGCAGCCTCAGCAAAAAGCAAATTGGCTCATTCTGAGAAGGAAAATAGTCCTGCATGAATCACCACCTGTTTTATAGCAGCAGCATAGATTGCTTGCTTACTTTTTCTTTCTCCCTTCTTTCTTTGCTTTTGGCCTATTTTAGAAGCACTTTTAAGCACAAGTCTGTCTTGCCAGTAGGCTTCAAGCTTTTCTAAAGCTCACTGCTAAGAAACCACATTTAAACATCTTTCTTCTCCCGTACGGATGGCCACAAGGTTATCCCCTTGAAGCTGCACCAGGGGAGCAGAGAGCATAGGTCAGTGGCCAAGTCACTAGACACCCTTGTGCTCAAGAGCTCGCGAACGAAAGTCCATGTTTACCTTTGTGGAAAGCCCGGGCACTGCGGGGGTTGCAGCTTGTGTGCGCGGTGAGAGGGGGCAGCCTCCTCTCCAGAGGACACGTGGACGGATAGACACGAATTTAACAAAAACCGGAGACGCACATCCCGCCTCCATTGCTTCGGTCAGTCAGGAAAGGGTTGATACTTCAGGAATACTTTCCATAGATCAAGCGTAA